TCTAAACATAGCAATAGAATACAAAGGCATTAAACAGGCATCTGAGTTTAAATATCTGTGAACTACATTTACCGAAGATGAGAAATTGGATAAATAAATTGGCATTAGATGCAGTAAAGCAAACCAAGTATTGGGACAGCTAGCCCCCCTCTTACAGCATAAGACAATCCCAATCAACACAAAGAGACATCTTATTCAAAGCATATTTATTCCAACTCTGTGCTACCAGTGCCAGACTTGGTCACTCACAACAAACTATAAAAGAAAATTAGTAACCATGGAAATGAGATGCCCGAGAAGGGCTGTAGGAGTGACCATAAGAGATAAGATCAAGAATGAGATTATAAGAGAACAAGTCGGCACAGAACCAATTCTGGATTACAAAAAAAGACAGCAAGTGAAATGGTTTGCCCACTTAGAGAGAATGCCTTGTGACACCATACCATACAAAGCATACATGGAAAGAGAAGAAGGACTTAGAGCACGGGGTAGACCAAGAACAAGATGGAAGGATAACATCAGAGAAACTCTACAACAGCACGATGTGCCTATGGTCGAGGCGGCCAGAAGAGCTAGAAACAGTACCTTATATCTCCCTCGACACCCACAGCGGTAAAAGAGGAAGTGAAGAAGAAGAAGAAGTGTGTCATTATGCATGGTATGTGTGTGTGTGTGTGTGTGTGTGTATGTGTGATAGTGTTAGCTGTTATATGCGTTAGCTTCTTCTTCTTGAGCGTGTTGTATTGCGTATTAGTATGTGATCTAGTGTATGTTTGTTTTAGTGTGTAAACTGTCGTAGCTACTGCGTCAGCCTGTATGTTAATGTCCGCTTTAGTCTGTGGTAATGTAAGCTCTAGTGTGTGTTCATGTGGGCTTTAGTGTATAATAATGCGGGCTCTAGTGTGTGTTAGTGAGAGCTTTAGTGTGTGTCAGTGTTGACTCTAATATGTGTTAATACGAGCATTGGTGTATGTTATTGTCGGTTATAGTGTATGTAAGTGTGAGCTTTAGTGTGTGTCAGTGTTGACTCTAATATGTGTTAATACGAGCATTGGTGTATGTTATTGTCGGTTATAGTGTATGTAAGTGTGAGCTTTAGTGTGTGTCAGTGTTGACTCTAATATGTGTTAATACGAGCATTGGTGTATGTTATTGTCGGTTATAGTGTATGTAAGTGTGAGCTTTAGTGTGTGTCAGTGTTGACTCTAATATGTGTTAATACGAGCATTGGTGTATGTTATTGTCGGTTATAGTGTATGTAAGTGTGAGCTTTTGAGTGTATTGATGTGGACTTTAGTGTATGTTATTGTCGGTTATAGTGTATGTAAGTGTGAGCTTTTGAGTGTATTGATGTGGACTTTAGTGTATGTTATTGTCGGTTATAGTGTATGTAAGTGTGAGCTTTTGAGTGTATTGATGTGGACTTTAGTGTATGTTATTGTCGGTTATAGTGTATGTAAGTGTGAGCTTTTGAGTGTATTGATGTGGACTTTAGTGTATGTTATTGTCGGTTATAGTGTATGTAAGTGTGAGCTTTTGAGTGTATTGATGTGGACTTTAGTGTATGTTATTGTCGGTTATAGTGTATGTAAGTGTGAGCTTTTGAGTGTATTGATGTGGACTTTAGTGTATGTTATTGTCGGTTTATAGTGTATGTAAGTGTGAGCTTTTGAGTGTATTGATGTGGACTTTAGTGTATGTTATTGTCGGTTATAGTGTATGTAAGTGTGAGCTTTTGAGTGTATTGATGTGGACTTTAGTGTATGTTATTGTCGGTTATAGTGTATGTAAGTGTGAGCTTTTGAGTGTATTGATGTGGACTTTAGTGTATGTTATTGTCGGTTATAGTGTATGTAAGTGTGAGCTTTTGAGTGTATTGATGTGGACTTTAGTGTATGTTATTGTCGGTTATAGTGTATGTAAGTGTGAGCTTTTGAGTGTATTGATGTGGACTTTAGTGTATGTTATTGTCGGTTATAGTGTATGTAAGTGTGAGCTTTTGAGTGTATTGATGTGGACTTTAGTGTATGTTATTGTCGGTTATAGTGTATGTAAGTGTGAGCTTTTGAGTGTATTGATGTGGACTTTAGTGTATGTTATTGTCGGTTATAGTGTATGATAGTGTGAGCTTTTGTGTGTATTGATGTGGACTTTAGTGTATGTTATTGTCGGTTATAGTGTATGATAGTGTGAGCTTTTGAGTGTATTGATGTGGACTTTAGTGTATGTTATTGTCGGTTATAGTGTATGATAGTGTGAGCTTTTGAGTGTATTGATGTGGACTTTAGTGTATGTTATTGTCGGTTATAGTGTATGATAGTGTGAGCTTTTGAGTGTATTGATGTGGACTTTAGTGTATGTTATTGTCGGTTATAGTGTATGATAGTGTGAGCTTTTGTGTGTATTGATGTGGACTTTAGTGTATGTTATTGTCGGTTATAGTGTATGATAGTGTGAGCTTTTGCGTGTATTGATGTGGACTTTAGTGTATGTTATTGTCGGTTATAGTGTATGATAGTGTGAGCTTTTGAGTGTATTGATGTGGACTTTAGTGTATGTTATTGTCGGTTATAGTGTATGATAGTGTGAGCTTTTGCGTGTATTAATGTGGACTGTAGTGTATGTTATTGTCGGTTATAGTGTATGTAAGTGTGAGCTTTTGCGTGTATTAATGTGGGCTGTAGTGTATGTTATTGTCGGTTATAGTGTATGTAAGTGTGAGCTTTTGCGTGTATTAATGTGGGCTGTAGTGTATGTTCATGCGGCTTTAATGTATAATAATTTCGGCTCTAGTGTATATTGGTGTAAGCTGTAGTGTTTACTAGCTGGCGAGTTACTCTCTGTATGTGCTAATCAATACTCAGTGGTATTTTCGCGACTTTACACGTTCTCGAATGTCCCACGTTACCAAATGCCACTCAGCCCCATCTGTAGCCTTGGGCACTGCCGCACTGTACTAGTTAGTCGTGCCTTAGTTTCCCTAGGACATCTGTCAGGATAATAGGATTTCTCCTCCTGACACGACTGCACAGACGGTCTCCACATCCATCCGGGGTCCATTCAGAATCTCTAGGGTCCTGAATTTACAACCCACAAGGTGTTAGCTGTGTCCCCTGACCAGCTCAGAGTAAATGGACCGGACCAGGTTCATATTAGAGGTTACCCCGAGCGAAGACCCGGGTAATTATCGAGTATTTTCTAGTGTGTCTTTTTCTCCTCTTGAATTCTTTGTCTGGTTCCGGGCGTTGGAGAGCGGATCAATTTACGAATGGGAAACGCTTACAAGCCCAAGAATGATATTTAACTCTTTCTGAGACTTCAAGCTTTGGGTTAGGTGAATTAGAATTAAGCTTTAAAGAAAATAATGTTTGCTCTTGTTTTTGGCATTAATCAAGTAACAGAAAGAATTATAGTTTTCTTAAGAAAACAAGTGTAGAACAAAGACCACATTACATAATTGATTGCCTGCATACTGCACTGTGGGAGTCACCGTGGAGTAGCGGCAAGACGCCCGCGAACGGACTGGAAGGTCGTGGGTTCGCTCCCTGGCGGAGTCAGACTTGTTTTTCAAAAATGATTTTGACTCCCGTATCCTCCCAGCCTTTAGTGGGTACCGGGTGCAGTTCCTGGAAGTCAAGGCGGCCGGCGTGATGCTGATCACATCACCCATCTTGTGCCGATGGGTCTATAAAAATATAGATCTAGCCCTATATGCCTAATAGGCCTAAAGGCGTGGGAAAAGGACCTTAACTTTTTTTACTTTACTTTAGACTGCACTGAAGGGAGCCGCTGTGGTGTAGCGGCTAGACGCTGCCTGCGGATCTGAAGGTCGTAGGTTTAAATCCGCATTCAGCGGCATTTTTTTTTCTTTTTAACATAACATTGTCTACCAGTCGACTCAGCCTTAAATGGGTACAAGGTTAAGTCCTAGAAAGTAAAGAGGGCTGACCTGATATTGACCACATCACCCATTGAATTATATTTTAAAAAGTATGAGTCATGCCTCATGTGCCCAGTGCGCCACTGTTGCGTGAAAGGTCCTCTAAAATGCATCAGACAGCGTTTGAAGTAAATATTTAGAGTGGGTCTTCTTACTGAAGTAGTCAAGCCATTTGTCTCACTCTTTAAAGGTTAGACGGCTGCGTAGTTTAGTTCACGAGTGCAATTTTTACGGAGATCCGCAGGGAAACTCCGCTGGAGCTACAGAGTTCTGACTTTATGCGATGCTCTGGGCGAGCCGCCATCCGTTCTGCTGAGGGAGACCGAGCCATACGGGATAAAACCTGAGGCAGTGAAGGCGATCCTCTCGACTTTAACCTTTAGTTTGAAGTAATAGGGCAAACAGCCTGCCAGTAGCAATGCATGCAGTTCATCGTTTAATGGAAGCAGCAGTTTTAACATATCAGTAGCTGCACACGTAATTAATCGCATAAGACATCAGAAGTTTTCTTGCAACTGACCACTCGCCCTTTCCAGAATCTGCAGTTCACAACATAACCACGTTGGAGACAGTCGAGACGCATTCTAAATCAAATACACAGCAGGCAGTGTTGCGGCATGCGTTCAACTCAGTTGGACGACGGAAAATCTATACTTTCAGTGTAATATACGATCTAAAATGCAACAGACAACTATTGTCAGAAGCTAAAAACTTGCTACGACTAAAACAGTTAACCCACCCATCCGCCATATTGTCCGGAAGTCTATCAGCGAAGAGTCGTTAAGACAACGAAGCATATTTGTAAAAATAACAGTCGCAAATACAATAGAGATAAGGCCCCTAAAGAAATAGATCACATGGACATGAAAGGGTTTCTTCTATTGCCTATTAGGATTGCCCTAGGATCTGCTGGAAGAGCTCAGAAAGGTGTCATATTTTGTTAAAGCGGACATCGTCTGACAAAGTCGACGACCCCTAAGACTAATCCCTGTAACTGTGGGCGTGCCCGCCTGGCACTTGATACATTTCGCGTGACCTGACAGAAATTGGCCTCCTGAAATCACGTGACAAAGAAATCAAGTCGGCCGCAGTTACTAGCCCCTTGTGTGTAAATATTAGAAGTAGCGGGAGACGGTGGAGGAAGAGGGCGAACTGTGGTTATCGAGCGTAGTCTCAAACATAGGCGCCCGAAGGTGAGAGCTATAACCCCTTGAAATTGTGTATGCTATGCGGGCTCTTTTATACGTACATCGAAGTTCTCATTTTAAATTATTTCAAACATATTATTATACCCCTGTACCTTTGGGAGTCGCCGTGGCAGGGCGACTAGACGCTCGCCGCGGATCGGAAGGTCGCGGGCTCGCTCCCTGGCGGAGCCGGACTTTTTTCAAAAATGACCTTGGCTCCCAGATCGACCCAGCCTTGAGTGGGTACCGGGTGCAGTCCCGGGAAGTAAAGGCGACCGGCGTGATGCTGATCACATAATCCATCTTATGCCGATTAGTCTACAAAAATATAGATCTAGCCCTATGTGCCTATAGGCGTGGAAAAGGGTTCTTTACTGTTTGTTTTACATGTACCATTAAGCACACTGTAATTATTATTATTAATATTATCTGAAAGATTATCCGTAAAATTCGAGTTGTTCGTCCACCTTTGTATATTTGATCATCTTTCAGGACCTGAACTCTACGTGCACACTAATACATTCCTATTTGAATGCAGAAAAGATATAAAACCGAACGAAAAGTATAAAAGCAAGCTTCACAATATAACAAATACAAACGAAACGTGAACGTTGCAGTTAATAAGCCTTCATCAGCACATTCAATTCAAACAATACTACACAGATACACAAAATCACTTAGCTGGTATCTCGAAACAGCGGGGTCAATGGTTTCTCATATTTGTGTGCAGAATGTTGTTATTTTCTTGTTTCCCACGCAGATGCGCTCTACCTCTGATGGATATACCCATAATTAGCCACTGTTTCTTAAACCGCTTGCATATTAGAGGAAGTGGGTCTATTTGCCCCCCCCCCCTAATCCCCCACCTCACACCACTCTATGGGGTAACGAAATCCACACGCAGAAAATAAATCGACGACCTATTTTGTAACTATACTGACAAATATCAAACAGGACATGTGTGTGTGTTTAAAAGCCCTATATAGACTCCAGACAAATCTTTGTCTATCTAACTGCCTTACACATACATCCCAGACATTTCTTTACAAAGTTAATGCTCCATTTGTCCCTGAAATTTCCAGACTTATTTCTTGAACAACATCGTACGCCCTGGAATTTTGTTGAAGGCTCCATCACTAACTTTATTTATAAAAGAATTCACTAGGGAGAGAACACTCTGGCCGGACGACAGTGTGGCACGCTGGGATATATCACAGAGGCAGCTGGGGTAGATTACCCACAATCCCATGAAATTTATTTGTTTGTAGGTGAGCAATAGCCGGCTTTTTCCATCCAGCGTGAGATAAATCTACAGGGGAAATTGTTTTTCCACAATCGGACAGCTCTTAGATGAACTACAAATTAATCCGAAGGAGAGGGAAAGATGGAACATAAATTAAATGCACATGCGAATTGGTCGTCGTTTTCGTTGTTGTCTTCTTCTTCTTCTTCTTCTTCTTCTTCTTCTTCTTTCTCCTTTTTCTTTTTCTTCTTCTTCTTCTTCTTCTTCTTCTTCTTCTTCTTCTTCTTCTTCTTCTTCTTCTTCTTCTTCTTCTTCTTCTTCTTCTTCTTCTTCTTCTTCTTCTTCTTCTTCTTCTTCTTCTTCTTCTTCTTCTTCTTTCTTCTTCTTCTTCTTTCTTCTTCTTTTTCTGCTGCTGGCTCCACAAAGACTCAATAACGATACAAGAACAGGGTGACCTGTTCATGATGGGAAAAGTAAATAAATAAACATTACAAGACTGTAATCATCCTGGCCAACGATTTGAAATTACAATGTCCATTAGTTTGATGCAGCCATTGGAGACGATCAGACCAGAGCTATATTTATTGATTGTCCGAAGGGGACAGATCGTCTTGAAAGTTAGAACGTACAAGATTGTATTTGTTTTTCTTTTCTGTATCCCTGAAGTGCAATGAACAGACGGAAATTGTGTTTTTGTGAACGTTGTTGTTGTCGTTGTTGCTGTGGTGATGTTGGTGTGGTGGCGGTGGTGGTGATTATGGTTAATTCCTCTCAACAGATTTATTTCGGCCTGTGGTGTTCTGTAGCAGTTTCACTGAAGATATGCCTTCATGCCACTGTCTTAAGCCATCCACTATCATTTATCTTGGTCTACCGATGCATCTTCTACCAGTGATCTCTCCAGTTGTCACGATATTTTCAAATGCTCCTTTTCTCACCACATGACCAAAGAACTATGTTTGTCTTCTTCTCATTGTTGTAAATCATATTCTACTGTCATTGTTAGTTATTCTGGCAGTCCAAGGTATTCACAACATTTGGCTCAAGAACCACATATCAGTTGCCTCCAAACTCTTCTTAATTTGTTTGCTCACATTCCAAGATCCGCTGCCATACAAAAGAACAGGCCCGGTATAATATTTCAGTACTTGTCTTCTGATGTTTAATGAGAGTAATTTATTACATAAGATACTTTTCATCCTCTGAAATGCTGCCTTTGCCTGGCCAATGCTGCTATGTATCTAAAAATCATCATCATCATCATGTTCCCTGCCCACTGGCGTAGGCGCTCATGCATCTCCACAGATCACGATCCCTGGTTGCCTGGGACAGTTCTCTAAATGATATCTTCCCCCCCCCCCCCATGCCATCGTTTCAGTCAATCCAGCATCATCTCTCTTCATCTGCCTCTATCCCTTTTTCCACTGATCTTTCCAGGTGTCACGATGTTCTCCAAAGGCTCTTTTTTGTTTTATGTTTTTGTTTGTTGAGTGTTTTTCTAATTGTATGTAATTTTTACACCGCACCCCCCCCCCCCCCCCCCGGCCCTCAAATAATAATAAAAATTTCAATTAAAAGAAACACACCAACAATAAACTGCATTTCAAGAGTTTCTGTTGCCACTGCTGACGAATGCCTTCTGCATGAAATGCATGTGTGTGCTGTTGGCTTTACTGTGACTGTCTTTTGTTCGCTAACACGGAACAGCGATAGACAGTATGTGAGGTTTTTGTTAGCACAGGAACCGAACAACTATGAGGTGACCTGTTTGCTATAAGGTTGTTGTGTGCGTTTTTTTGGATGTCCTGATCATCAGCTGTAAACTCCAGCGGAAAGTCCTGTTGTTGTTGTGTGTTGTGTTTTTGGTGGTTTTTCCTTGTGTGTTGACTTGGAGTTTTGTTGCGTTTTTGTGTTGTTTTGTTTACACATGTTTTGTGCAGACTTGTTGTTTTTGTCGTTTGCCAAGCAGTTGCATTCGATTTTTTTTGTTGTTGTGTTGCTTTGTGTTTTTTGTCTTGTGAAGGATGCTATAAAAGCATTGGTCCTGTTTTGTTTTTTTGTGTGTGATTCAACAAACCTCTGTATCTTATGCAGCGCCAGCATCTGTTTTTGTTCTCCTTTTTTTTTGTTTGTGTTGAAAATCGCCCTGTTCTGTTTGGGTTTAGTTCTTTGTTTTTGATTCATCGCTTACTATATTGTTTTAATTCACCTCTGCAACCGTTTATTTTAATGATTTTGTTTTTATGACCCTTTTTTTTTTTTTTTGCCGTCCTTTTGTGTTTTGGTTTAAAACAGTTTTTTCGAAATTTGTTTTGTTTGCACACTTGTTTTGTATTAAAGCTTGGATATTATTTTGTGTTTTCAAAATGTAATGTACGGTACATAACTGGACTTGTATGTGGTTTGTGTACATAACAAAATGCTTGGTTGTTTTCAATACTTCGTTTTTGACTCTCATTTCAATCGCATCATTTTTTTTTTGTTGTCTCGTTGTGTTGGTTTTTGTTGTTTTTGTGGAGAAAGGGAGTTGGTAGAGGGTGGGGGGGGGGGGGGACAGGAACTTACAAACTGTTGTTGTGTGGATTTTTCGTAAAAGGCGAATAAATAGGAATGTTTCCTTTCAAGTCGGAGTGCATCTGGCTCAGAGGCGAGGAGCAAACAGTCTGTACACAAGTAAGGCAAATGTGTAAAATAGACGCGCCCAAAACTCGAGTTCTGGAACAAGACCAAAGTCCAAACGTGGACGAGTAACCATAATTTCCCGCCGAAGTTTACAGCCGGTGAACGCTAAGAACAAGAGCGAAGAACGAACGAATAAACGAACGAACTTTGGTTTTAAAAGGTTACTAATTGGGCACGCATACCCGTCTTGAACAAGCCACATAAACTGAAATCTTTTTTCAACAAATTTCACCGAGAACTTTTCTAACCGAGATGCTGCAATGCTTTAAAAAGACAGCCACAATTACTTGATAGGGTTTTTATTTACCCCAGTGAAGCCAACAAGCGACCAGATGTCACTGAACAGTCATTTCCATAACTGATGTATCGATTTCGTTTCTGTGCAAAACGCATGCAGTAGTTTCAGTCAAATGACTGGTGCTGGTGATGTTTGAGGTGATTATTGTGATGGTGTTGGTAGTGGTGGTGACAGTAGTAGTAATAGTTGTGGTGGTATTGGTGGTGGTGATGGTGCTAGTGGTGGTGGTGGTTGTGGTGGTAGTGGTAGTGGTAGTCGTGGTGCGGGTAGTGGTTATAATGGTGGTGGTGTTAGTGATGGGGTGGTGGTGCTAGTGGTGGTTGTGGTTGTGGTGGTAGTGGTATCGTGGTGTTGGTGGTGGTAGTGGTGGTGGTAGTGGTGGTGGTAATGGTGGTGGTATTGGTAATGGGGGTGGTAGGCTGGTTTTGGTGGGTTTGGTGGTTGTTGTTAATGGGGGTTGTGGTAATGTAGTGATTGGTGTGGTAATGGTGGTGGTGGTTTTTGGTGTGGTGGTTGTTAGTGGTGGTGGTGAATGTGCTGTTGGTAGTGGTGGTGGTGATGATGGTGCTGGTGGTGGTCATGATGGTGCTGGTGGTGGAAGTGATGGTGGTTGTGCTGAGGATGATGGTGTTGGTGGTGATGGTGGAAATGAAGCTGGTGCTTGTGGTGCTGCTGATGGTGGTGATGGTGGTGATGGTGCTGGTGGTGATAGTGCTGGTGGTGATGGTGGTGATGATGCTGGTGAGGATGGTGCTGGTGGTGATGATGGTGATGTTGCTGGTGGTAATGGTGGTGATGGTGGTGGTGGTGGTGGTAATGGTGCTGGTGGTGATGGTGCTGGTGGTAATGGTGGTGATGGTGCTGGTGGTGATGGTGGTGCTGATGGTGATGGTGGTGCTGGTGGTGATGGTGCTGGTGGTGATGGTACTGGTGGTGCTGGTGCTGGTGGTGATGGTGATGGTGGTGATGGTGGTGATGGTGATAGTGGTGATGGTGCTGGTGGTGATGGTGGTGATGGTGCTGGTGAGGAAGGTGGTGATGGTGGTGGTGAGGATGGTGCTGGTGGTGATGGTGGTGATGGTGATGTTGGTGCTGGTGGCGATGGTGCTGGTGGTGATGGTGGTGATGGTGCTGATGGTGCTGGTGGTAATGGTGGTGATGGTGCTGGTGAGGATGGTGGTGGTGGTGATCGTGCTGGTGAGGATGGTGGTGATCGTGCTGGTGAGGATGGTGCTGGTGGTGATGGTTCTGGTGGTGATGGTGGTGATGGTTGTGGTGGTGATGGTGGGGATGGTGGTGATGGTGCTGGTGGTGATGGTGGTGATGGTGCTGGTGGTGATGGTGTTGATGGTGCTAGTGTTGATGGTGGTGATGGTGGTGATGGTCGTGATGGTGCTGGTGGTGATGGTGCTGGTGGTGATGGTGGTGATGGTGCTGGTGGTGATGGTGCTGGTGGTGATGGTGCTGGTGAGGAAGGTGGTGATGGTGATGGTGGTGATGGTGGTGGTGAGGATGGTGCTGGTGGTGGTGGTGGTGCTGATGGTGATGGTGGTGATGGTGCTGGTGGTAATGGTGGTGCTGGTGGTGCTGGTGCTGGTGAGGGTGGTGGTGATGGTGGTGATGGTGCTGGCGGTGATGGTGGTGGTGGTGGTGATAGTGGTGATAGTGATGATAGTGGTGGTGGTGATGGTGGTGCTGGTCAGGTGGTGATAGTGGTGGTGGTGGTGCTGGTGCTGGTGGTGATGGTGGTGCTGGTGGTGATGGTGGTGCTGGTGGTGATGGCGTTGGTGGTGATGGTGGTGCTGGTGGTGATGGCGCTGATGGTGCTGGTGGTGATGGTGTTGGTGGTGCTGGTGCAGGTGGTGATAGTGTTGATGGTGGTGCTGGTGGTGATGGTGCTGGTGGTGCTGGTGGTGCTAGTGGTGATAGTGCTGGTGGTGATGGTGGTGCTGGTGGTGATGGTGGTGTTGGTAGTGATGGTGCTGGTGGTGATGGTGCTGGTGAGGATGGTGCTGGTGGTGCCAGTGGTGATGGTGGTGATGGTGCTGTTGAGGATGGTGATGGTAGTGCTGGTGATGATAGTGGTGATGGTGCTGGTGGTGCTGGTGCTGGTGGTGATGGTGCTGGTCGTGATGGTGCTGGTGGTGGTGCTGGTGAGGATGGTGGTGAGGATGGTGGTGGTGATGGTGCTGGTGATGGTGCTGGTGGTGGTGGTGATGGTGGTGATGGTGATGGTGGTGGTGATGGTGCTGGTGGTGGTGATGGTGCTGGTGGTGGTGATGGTGGTGGTGGTCGTGATGGTGGTGGTGGTGCTGGTGGTGATGGTGATAGTGCTGGTGGTGCTGGTGGTGATGGTGATGGTGCTGGTGGTGCTGGTGGTAATGGTGCTGGTGGTAATGGTAATAGTATTAGAAATAACAATGCTGGTGGTGCTGGTGGTGATGGTGCTGGTGGTGCTGGTGGTGATGGTGATGGTGCTGGTGGTGCTGGTGGTAATGGTGCTGGTGGTAATGGTGCTGGTGGTAATGGTAATAGTATTAGAAATAACAACGCCATCGACTTGACTTAATAAGCCTCGCACGGATCATTTGAGGCGAACGATATAAGTGGTAGTGAAGCATTCTTGACAGTAGTTAAGTCGTAACAGTTATGGTTACCCGCTGCAGAAACAGATAATCTGAATTCCTTGACATGGTGACGCCATTTGCCTGGCGCTCTAAAGGCCCTGGGTTCCTTTCGCGACTGCGTTGTTCGGCTTACGATTCCATGAAGACCCCTGGGGATCGTCACCGCAGCTACGATGCGCGTGCTTTGTGCGCGTAACTGTTCTGAAAAGAGAGACTTGGCTATATGAGAAAAATCCTGCGGCAATAAAGTCTATCTTTTCGACTTGAAACTGTAACTTTGAAAGGGACAAGAAAAAGAAGGAGCCCAAACAAAGACACTGGACAGTTTTGCAAAATCACACTGAAGGACATTTTTATTAAATGTCATTTACAGTACATAAGAAGGACAACTTCCTTTTTCTTCTTCTTCTTCTTCTTCTTCTTCTTCTTCTTCTTCTTCTTCTTCTTCCTTCTTCTTCTTCTTCTTCTTCTTCTTCTTCTTCTTCTTCTTCTTCTTCTTCTTCTTCTTCTTCTTCTTCTTCTTCTCTTCTTCTTCTTTCTTTCTTCTTCTTCTTCTTCTTCTTCTTCTTCTTCTTCTTCTTCTTCTTCTTCTTCTTCTTCTTCTTCTTCTTCTTCTTCTTCTTCTTTTTCTTCTTCTTTGTTCACTTGCTATATGCACCTTGGGAAATTTCTGGTTGTTCTTCTATTTGGACTTTGGATTTGTGTCAGCGCCTGTGTTTTGTGTGTAGATCCGTTTTATTAGCTTATTTATGGGCAGTTGGTTGTTCCTTACCGCTCGGGTAGATGACTCCGACTTCGAAGAAAGTCCCAGTTAGTCGACATGCTTTGTCTGGGAAGCAGTGGGAGGATTCTTTTTTTCCCCCGTGTGGGTTCCAGAGCCCTGTTATAGGGAAAACAAAAATAGACCCACTTTTTACCCAAAAGCATGTCGTAAGAGTAGACAAACTGGGAGCTTCTTTCAAGAAACACCCGAGGATAGGTCCCAGAAACCCCTTTCAACCCGTAGGTTGGGTCATATTAGGGCCCCGGCAACAACCAGGATGGGGGCTTTAAAAAAAATGCGTCTGTCAATGGGGAGACATGCCTAATGAAACTGAGAAACCCACACGGGTAAATCTTGTGCTAGAAAGCATGGTTTGCCTACTCTACGTACTCATGAGTTGTACATTATTTGTTCTATGTACAGTCGTGGTCCTTGACATAGACAATTCTGCGCACAACACTCGTGTGGGTTCCGGGGCCCTATTATAGGGAAAACAAGAATAGACCCACTGCCTACCTAAAAGCATGTCGTAAGAGTTGACTAATTGGGAGCTTCCTTCGAAGTCGGAGTGCATCTGCCTGAGAGGAAGGAACCAACAGTCTGCATACAAATTAGTCAGACCTTGCAAACCGATGTACATGCAACACTCAGGTTCTGGAATAGGAGGGCTGCAGTCCGGAAGTGGACGAACAACCAGAACTTTCCACCGGAGTTTACAGCCGGCGAACGCGAACAAGAAGACGAAAAAGAAGAAGAAGAAGAAGAATTCCGCGCACAAAACGTTCACAAAAATACAAAACAAATGCACAAACATCCAACCAATTTTTAGAATTCTAATACGAAAAAAAGGCTCTAAAAGTCTCCCCTAGTCGGCTTCCCTACCCCCATTGGGCCCACTTCCGCCACTGACGACTTTGACGTTGGTTTTAATGAGATCCTAAAAGCCACCTTGCTTTAGGAAGGTAGATGTTTCCGGAGTGCATGGCTCCTGTCACAGCCTATCTAGTGCGGCCATTTCCAACAGCAATTCGTTTTTATTGCGCCCAAGTTGGAGAATTGCGTTTCCATTTTCTCCCACAAGTTTACGTGATAGCCGGCCATATCAGAGAGAGCTCAGGTTGCCTTGTTGCTGTTGCACAAGCTGTTTTCTTCTGTCACTCGTTTTTCTGATGTCCAAAGAAAAGAGGAAAAAAAATTGCTATATGCACTTGTTTATAGTTTTGTCATCTAGTGTACAACTTTGAAAACGACGATAAATGAGATGTAATTATGTGTCTATTTTACAGCTGATAGGGTGGTGGTGGTTGCAGTAAAAGTGATTCGGATTAAATCTCTAGCTTAAATCAGATTCATTTAATCCAACAAGGAGGTTTGTGAAGACATCGCAGTTTCCTTTTTTTTTTTTTTGGATAACTTATACTTTTTTACACTTGTTATCTTCTTGCTCTCTTTCTTCTCGCTGTTTCACCCTCTCTCCTCCTTTTCTTTCGTCACTACAACATCCATTTTCCCCACTAGATCTTTCTCTCCCTTTTCTCCTTCTTCGGCTGTTGACTCTTCTTTTTCTTCGTCTTCTTCTTCTTCTTCTTCTTCTTCTTCTTCTTCTTCTTCTTCTTCTTCTTCTTCTTCTTCTTCTTCTTCTTCTTCTTCTTCTTTTTCTTCTTCTTCTTCTTCGTCTTCGGCTTTTGGCTATTCTTCTTCTTCTTTTTTTCTTCTTCTTCTTCTTCTTCTTCTTCTTCTTCTTCTTCTTCTTCTTCTTCTTCTTCTTCTTCTTCTTCTTCTTCTTCTTCTTCTTCTTCTTTTTTCTTATTCTTCTTCTTCGTCTTTTCGGGCTTTTGGCTATTCTTCTTCTTCTTTTTTTTCTTCTTCTTCTTCTTCTTCTTCTTCTTCTTCTTCTTCTTCTTCTTCTTCTTCTTCTTCTTCTTCTTCTTCTTCTTCTTCTTCTTCTTTTTCTTCTTCTTCTTCTTCGTCTTCGGCTTTTGGCTATTCTTCTTCTTCTTTTTCTTCTTCTTCTTCTTCTTCTTCTTCTTCTTCTTCTTCTTCTTCTTCTTCTTCTTCTTCTTCTTCTTCTTCTTCTTCTTCTTCTTCTTTTTTTTCATCGTCGTCGCCTACTGTTGCTACGACTACTAACTTTTACTATTATTATCAAACTTTCTCCCTGTGTGGGCCCCATTAGTGGGAACCAGCATAGGCCCACTGCCTGCCTCACAAACATGTTCTAACAGTCAACTAACTGGAGGCTTCCTTCAAATTCGGAGTGCATTTGCCTGAGAGGATGGAACCAACAGTCTGCATACAAATGAGTCAGATCTGAAAAACGGATATACACGCTTCACTCAGGTTCTGGACCAAGACAAATGCTCAGAGATGGGTGAACAACCAGAACTTTCCCCCTGGAGTTTACAGCTGGTGAACATAAAGAAGAATTATTCTTTTGTTTGGTTGTTTATTAATAGTATTATTACTGTTACTGGATTGTATTTGTCGGGTTTTCACATCTGCGATTTTGTCATTGCCATTTGTAATCAAAATTAGCCAGCTATTGTAGTTGGCTGTCTCATTGCACTGTCATGGTGTGGTGACGTCATGTTCACGCTGTTTTCAGAAACCCACACAGTGTAGCTGCTACCAAGAACAGTTACATGCGCGGTTTTACACCCGCAGGTCGCGACCCTGTCTCGGGGTCGCCACAACATGAGGGAAGCGTATTAAAGGGTCGAGGTATTAGGAAGGGTGGGAGCCACTGAATTACATGCACGTGGGTCCACACTCAAGGAAAGATGAGACTAAAGTATAGACATTCTTTGCAATTCATAGAGACGGCCATTAATGTCGAGCGGAAACATAATGCTCTGTTTCTGTGGTGTCTTGAAAGGCGTCGTCACTTCCTGTACGCAGTGGCATACTCTCACTTCAGTTTGTTTACTCGTGTGGGGGTATCTTATTAATCAAAGGTGCGTTTTGTCTTTGAGAAGATAAAGCTTTGGGAAGATTTTGATTGGTATTTAGTAAGTATAGCTTTTTATTTATACGGTTAGTCTGTATCTGGGTACTGGAGTGATGAAGGTCATATGTTAAACATCGAAACCTCTAGTCATTGCATATGTTTGTATTTGACTGACTGAATCGCCAGTACAATTTGATCCGGGCCACTGATGACCACTTGTTCATGACAGGGGCTATTTTTCATAAACAGTAAGATGCACGAATGTTGCTGTTTTATATGGTTTAATTTTTCCCTCGAAGTCGGAGTACGTCTGCCCGTGAGGTAGGGAACAGACAAAGCCAGTAAAACGGTTGTACAC